ATGGAGCGCCTACGTTGGCTCGTCTTCTTGCTCCTTTGTGGGGAGAATGAGGCTTTCACCACCGCGCGTTTCTACCCGACGAAAAACAACATGAAGATCACGTCGCCGACTAAAGAGTTCGTCATTGTGGAGGAAATGGAGTGCGCATTTGCTTGCTCGAGGTGAGTCATGTAGTACTAGTTCTGGAGTGCGTCACCCTTTAGGAAAAAATCCTATAGGATGCTACTAGTTTTTTGAAACATCATCAAATTACAGGATTCTGATAAGACTCCTATTTGGTACTCACAGAGTCCCATATGATTTCTATAGGATCCTGTAGGAATCCCCTATAATATATATATTAGGTGGTTTTAAAAAAAGGCTCTACCGTTTTCTATGGGATATACACAGTTTCATACATGAATGAACAAAAATTACCTTCGATATACGATCGATATTTGACAGTTACAATGTGTTGAAATGCTTGCCAGCTTTTCTTTCTGCACCCCCTGCCTAAGTCGTGCAGCGCCCATTAATTGGCGAATTAAAGGTAATTTGAGATGGATCATCCCACCTCAAGTGAGGTGATTACCTGTGCTCGCCCGTCTCAGAATTCAATAAATGTTTTAACATCAACTTCTCCAGGGAAAGTTGGATCTAGCTGATGATTAACAGGTTGAGAGAGGGTGATTTTTCAATCACCCTCTGTCACCCGGTCGACAACAGCGCTCTCTACAATGATACAGCGTCATCTCGAGGGAGTGGGGAAAAAACATTTGACTCGTGAATCTCTCTGTCAAGTATCAGCTAGATCCAACTGCCCCTTGAAAAGTTCAAGATGAAAAATTCATGGAATTCTGAGACAATCGAGTATATGTAATCAACTCTCTTCCGGTGGAATGATCAACCTCTAAACACCTTAAATTCACCTCTAATTGAGCATTGCACGACGTAGGCAGGGGTGCTGAAAAAAGCTAGCAAACGTTTCTACACCTTGTAATTGTCAAATATAGATTGTGTATCCAATGCATTTTTGGCCACCTTTATGAAACTGCTTCTCACATAGAAAACGGAATTTTTTTTTTAAAACACCTAATGTTTTCAAAAATCCCAAGTTCATAATGGATTTTTCCGTAAAGGTCCTTGCCTTCAAAGTTTCTCGAAACTGCATTTAAAAAATATTATTTATAGAGACACATCTACTCAAGCAAAAAGCAATGCTGATAATTTTTTCATGGAATGGGCTAGGTATTGTAGATATCAATGACTCATGTTGATGATGTTGTGAGTTTAGAGATCGGACATTGGGAGTAGCCAACGAGAATTAAGAGCCCTCCGATAACAACCCCAGATTGCTCATAACGTCTATACAGCGTTGCATTGATGGAAACACTGAATGATCATCGAACCAGCAACGTTATCCCGATCCCGTTTCCGAACTGGACATGCCGCGATCAGATGAAGACGCACCGATCTTGGAGGAGGACATTAATGCGAAGCTTTTACCGCCGATTATCTAACGCCTTTGCGCTCACACTATAAATCCTTAAGACCTCCACTGCCCAGTTCAGAGTTATTTCTCTTACTTACTCGAAGGAGTCTCATGGAGTCACATCAGCATATGAACTTTGTTCTCTCCGTTCCCCTGGCCAGAAGTACCGAGAATCTTGCTGGGTCTTGCTGCCTCTTTTCTCGAATGTATACAGAAATTCGAATAGTTTCTTCAGTTCAATTTTTGAAGAAAATATCAAATACCCTTAGAAAAATACTGGGGAAGCGGGCCAGTTCCATACATGAGCTAATTCCCCATGCTAGCGATTTGGCGCCATCTTAAATCAGGATCTGGAAACCGTATTTGTCTGAATGTCTCGCTAAATGTCTTGCCCAACATATGTTGATGCAATGTTCACCATGTTTTAAATCATCAGCATCAGCATCCTCTCACCATCGTCAACATATTATCAACGTCGAGTCAGCGTTGTCGCGGAGATTGGCATGCTACTGATATTAAGGGTCGTATTCACGTCACTCTCTTAGTTAAGGCATCCCTTAAGAGTTAGGGGACCCCTAGCTAAGGGTTCCCTAAGAGATGATGCCTAGAGAGGCTGGAATGTAAGAGTCCCCTAGAGGTACCGTATTCACGTTCTTCCCTTAGCTAGGGAATCCCTAAACGCACCCCTAAGAGATATAAGAAATTGGAAAGAAGTTAGAGAGCCTTCAGCTGCCCTTAGCAGACTCCTGCGAGTTCGTCGCACTCTTTCAGCGAGCAGAAATGCCTTTGAGTTTTTGCCTTTGTTACTGAAAACGGTTTCGAAGAATTATTTTACCTGTTTAACAGGTCATGCCCTTGTAGTTTTTCTTAATTTCATAAAGCGCTCCTGTCGTATTGCATCGACGTCGAGAAACATTGATGCAATATGTCAGATATTGAAACTTCAATAATTTTGCAATGCTGAGTCAACGTTGTTTCACAGGTTGATGTTTTTACACATCTTATTCGTAGATTCAGGATTACTTGAATGAATTCATTTAGTGAAAGTTCCTCATTGGTGTTAACTTTCTAAATCGTTTTCTTCTCAGTTTCTAACAGGTGCTAACAGGTAATTCTCATAAACTGAGATACTGACACCATCCTGCTTCACCAAGATTTTTCCCACCGCATCGATATCCTGGGGTGCACCCCTGGCACATCCTCTTTATCGAAAATCCGACTTTTCCAGTAGGAACTGGAAAAAGTAGAAGCTTATGCATGTTCACCCTTCCCAAGGGAACAAAGTGTTGTGTTGCCATCGACAATTTGGCGAAAATCGCATCACAAATGCCATTTTTAGGGGAATTACCTTTTCGCAGGGTTGCCAGATAAGCCAGGTTGGAAGGTATGCCTAAGAAATAGACTCACCTTCAATGAATAAGGGTCCAAATCCTGCATGACATGCATTTTCATTCTCTCTCAGAATTATTTGAGCTGAGGGACCTTAATAGGTTCGTTAGCGGGAAACAGGACTTTCATGGAAACATGGATTTTTTCCCAGCAATCTGATTTAGCTTTGTTGGTGACTGAATCAGATTTCTTGATTTCAAGAACTGGAGAGTGTTTCCGAAGGAGAGCTTTGAATGCTTCCTTCTCCTCCTTAGTAAAGTTTTCTCTTCTTGACCTTCTACTCATGTTTGCACCTAATCGTGAGAATATGACAACTAACCGATAAGCAATCAAGCCAGTCAGCCCTGACGTGACTCGGATTTAACTGGAGTGATGGAAGTACCATCGTAATTTAAAAATTGAATATAATTAACTTTACACGTTGAGCACCCACCTAGGAGAAGTTGGTACTCAACGCTAATGCGAAGATAATTATACCAATGGAATCTCTAAGTCTACGCCTGAGAATGTACGAAGTATGAGCATACGTACTTCAGAAAAAGCTGTTGAATAAAGCACTTTTTCGCTTGACCTTGGCACTCATACATAGGAAGTACTATTGCAAGGTATCAAAGTAATCTGAAAATGTGTCGGACTCAAAATGGAACAATTGCCGTACGCAGAGGACCTCTGACTTCTGTGTATGTGGCTAGGAGGCAGCAAAGATAAAGAATTTCAGCGCATGCGGTTTCTTTATCACCCCTAAAGGATTCCTTAGCTAACGGCCCCCTATGAGACCAACGTGGATACCATTTTTGGGGGAACCCTTACCTAGGGGTCCCCTAACTGTTCCGTTCTCTTGGACAGAGAGACGACGTGCTTGAGCTTCTCCACGACCAAGTCGGCAGGCGCCGTCACCTGCCGCTTCGGGGACGCATACGACGCAAGGAGGAAGGCGGATCCGAACAGGAAATTCTTCTAGGAGCCGGTGACAACAGGTGATTCTCGTATGTTTGAGCGCCGAGGAACCGTGTGAATGGGGTCTTGCATTGGAATGAATGAGTTCCGTCCAACAAGTCGTCGGTTATGCGACATTGTGTTGGGTAAACCAACTGCAAAGTGTCAAAGGAAAGAGACAAAATGATATTCAATGACTACCAATCAAGTAGGATCGAATACGTTTAATGAACTTTTCATGTAATGTATTGCCATTGTTCCATGAACATCCAAGGGAACGTCCTATGAACGACTTAAATTCCCAAATCTAGAAATATCAGAAACAATTCAAAGCATGCATTCCATGAACGATGTGAACTCCTTAAGACTTGAAGGACCTTGAGCGGAAAGGGCATAGCCTCAAAGCCCAGGCTTTTTTTTCCCCAAAAAGGTTTATTCCTTGTGAAATGTAGATGTGCTTTCGTGGCCCACTATGGGTTAAGGAGGTGAGTTCCATACTTTAAATAAAATATAAAGCTTTTAATAACTTTTTATTCAGGATGAATCCAATTAACCTATTGAATATTTTCTTCTCGGAACTTGAATTTCATTAGTTTATGTAAAGGCCTACTCCCGTGACAGCAGTCAGAGATGGTTATGCACTCTGGTCGGATCTTTACATTCCATGCGATCATCTGGGTGAGAAGCGTTGGGTTGTGTTCATGCTACAGAAACCTCCTTAAAGTCTGCAGTCTCGGGAGTGTTTCCTACTGCGATCGACGAGACGTATTCTCAAGGTCGGCGCATAAACACGAGACTGAAAACACGAAAATGAAGTACCCAAATATATGGGGGCGAGGCCCAGTCTCAGAAACATCAATACGGCTTCAGGACTTTTAAAGGAAACTTTCAAACACGACGAGAGAGTTGTCGCCGATTTTTTAAATCTACCATGAGCCACGCTTCCAGCGGCTGAAAGAAACTGAAGAAATTGCGTCGATGCCGAATATGAGTAACTTCAAAGTTGATGCCTATCAAAAGCCGGAAAGAGTGATCGCAGCGTCATTCTTCATGACGCTGCGATGACTCTTGAGTCTTTGAGATCAATGCAGAACGCATTGATCTGACCACGTACATAAAATCAACATTACGCCGAAACAATCGCGATTGTGTCAGTTCACCCGGCGATTGCCCTAAAATCGATTCCCATTGTCTCTCTGGGAAGGCTACACGCCGGTCCCCGGGACAAGCAGTTTCTTGAAGCTGGTCCGAATAGATGGCATCACCTGGATCCAGGCGAAGGCAGAGTGTAGTCTGGACGTCGGGAGTCGACTTGCCATTCCTGCGACCACAGAGATGCTGAATTCCATGAACCAGACCATGATTGCCGTGTTAGGGTTGGACATTGCGTGCAAGTATTTCTTCATGGATGGCCAGAGCACGACGAACCAGTACACTTGGAGCTTCTCCGATGGTGAAGCTCCAAGCTTCGTTCGTAAAGTATTGACGGCTTTTCCGTAGACTATGGTCGTAACTGATATTTATTTTATTATTATTTCATTTGACCAGAGATTTTACATAACCAACGTATCTTATTTTCCGATATATATTACAAGTTTCGGCTTAGCTGAGGAATTTTCCCAGGAAACGTGAAGTTGAGGATTAAGTAACATGAACCCATTTCGATTTAATGACAATGATTTTCATTTTGTGGCCGAGAACATCCTGCAAGCGCTCCGATGTATTACTTTACATGTATATTAAAACCATCCTCAAAACAATTATCACATTGCAGTCTGCATCCACATAACAGTCTTTGAGAGCTTTGTAAGCTTTTTATGTGCTTTTATGAAGATGGCGTATATTCACCACGCTCAGGCGCTAAAATTCATTGTCATCGCCTTTCGGGAAGACTACTCACCAATGCACCATAGCATATCGTTCCTGGCATAGGTAGGCCAGGAGCAAATCGATATGGAAGATCATCCCACATAATGAACTAATGGCATCCAAGGACTTCCTCGTTTGTAGTGTGTACCGCCGGTTTCCGCGTTTTCCTTCCTCATTATGGGCAGACTGCATAATGAGGGTGTTCTTCGCCTTTCTGCGGGTCATCCAAAAGCGGACAATGATGATCTCGGGATCATCTCGTGAAATCATGGGAGAGGTTAGATGTGCCATTTAAAGAACGGGTCTTGATACAAAGACATAAATGGTCTCTCTAGATTGCATTTAGTTTCGTTCAATTTCGAGATCATACATGCATGTTCATACATACAGCAAATTCATTGAAAATCATTTACTTGCTTCGAAAATTTATGGAAATTGTAACACGTGCCTCAGTAATTCGATATCATCGTGAAATCGCAAAATTCGTTACAATGAATTAATTCAGTAAAGACTTGATGCACATTGCACAAAAACTCCAAGATTATTTAATGCAGTCTTTCGAACTACCTTCGTCCCTTTTTTCCATGGATGAAGGAGCGTTCTATTTTATGATGATACGTATTCAATGCGACCGGATCAGATTCAATATAAGGTGCGAAAACGAAGACTGTCATGTAAATATATATTTCGAAAAGTTGTTTGCCTACTCGAGAGTGATGACTATCGGAATATAGTTTTGGCAAGGTCAGTGATAATAAAATTCGCATTTTTTTTAAATAGTGAAATAAGTTCGAAAACATTGGGAACAATTTATCTCTTTCCCTAATACCTTTTTTCACGTCCAGGCACAGGCCTCAACATCACGGCGAAAGGTGAAGGAAACTTCCACCCATATGAACCCGATTCCGGTTCCGGTGGTCAATGCCTCATGATGACCCGGCAGTACGCTTTGGTTCCGCTCTACAGCGGCTTCTTGGTCGACTCCTCGTGCACGTCGGGCGTCGTGCAGTTTGGCTGTGTGTCGGATGGGTATTTCTGCGAGATCAAGATCCCGAATTGACCGTTTGTGGCGTGGCTCGGTCGTGGCGCGTTCCAGATTCGATGAGGTCCGAGAAGGAATTAGCGAAAATGTGGCACTGCCTTTTTTCGCCGTTTTTCTTTTCTTGCATGCGTGGCATCTTTCGGAGAGTTCATGGGAGATTATTATCGCCTAGTTTCGGATGCAACATTTTTGCATCATAGACGACCAAAACAGAAGCAATTGCTTATCGGATATATCCGTATTTGTTAAAACTGCTATATATGGAGAATTTGTGAATGTTCCATTCGACCAACTGCACAGCGTTTAGCAACAAATGAATAGAAAAAAGTGTTCCAGATGGTTTTAAGTTAAAAAATCCAGGTAAGGAAATGCCAGTCGGTTCTTCATCCGTAACAGGATATGAACTCTGGATTACTCTAATCTCATAATTTTGATGGATTTTTCCTATGACGTGTTTTGTGTGTTTCGGTTTTAGGAATTGCTTTCTCAGTGTTAAGCAGCTGCATTCATTACTGCATTCCTAAAAGCCCTTCGTATATTCAAGATTGTTTTGGAAATAAGCACGAATTGCAACTAAAAGAAAAATTGTCTGCCTTGCTCTCGTACTTTCTTTTGCACGTGTTCTGCTTTTGCATTCCAATTTGATGATGTAGACGTGCGGAATGCTCCTTAATTTGCTTTTTTCCCCTCATGGTGTGTGATGAACAGGACGATGGTACTTCAGCTTAGAAAAATGTAATACGAAATATGCTGCCCTAATCACTTCACCATTACTCAAGCCATGTTACCCCAGCTATCAAAAATATATTCCTGCAGCAATAAACTTCAAGCGCATCTAATATATATAGACGATGGTGACTGACTGACTGACTGACGCTAATTCTAACCATGTTCTAGAAGGGCTAGAAATCTGAAACTTGGNACTCAGGGAACTCCATGCCACCAAGTTTCAGCCTTATACGTTTCCCCTTTTTGAATTAGCGTCAGTCAGTCAGTCACGATCGTCTATATATATTTGAAAAGTGGAATTTTTTCTTTACGCAGCTATCCATTAGGTACTTATTTGCCAAGTTTTTTAAAACTTTATTGCGTCCTCTGTTTTGCTGGATCAGAAAATTCGTGAAAATACGCCTTTTGCAAAATATGTGCCCTGAGCCGTTTTAACCGAAACGTACCATTTTTTTCTTACCGAAATCAATCCTTAGTGAACTACATGCCCACAACGTTTCAATATTATACGTTTGCCCTTTTCGCTGTTGAAAAAACATGTTTGGAAAAGCCAACCCACCCTAACGCTATGCCCGGAGGGGATGCAACATGAAAGCTGAATACTCCCTCAGCTCAGTGATATCATGTCACTTATACGTGTGCCAAGTTTCACCTTTCCATTTCTATCCAATTCGCCACGACAATTTATTTTTCGAAACATCGCACCTCGAAAAAATTCCCCCAGGGGATGTACATTTTATAATTTACTCCTTGTCTCAGTAGTCACAGTCATGCAAAGTTTCAGCTTTCCATGTCTCTCCTTTTTACTCAAGCAAAAATAATGTTATGGAGGGGGAATGAGTAACGGGACATGGAAGGCAAAAAAAAAGCCAAAAGGAATGGCCTGGAATTGAACCCAGACCTTCTGATTGCCAGTCAGATATGCTACTACTACACCACCGAACCCAGCACATCCAGTTGACTCTCTGAATGCCATCCTCATCTGTCACAAAGTATATTTAAGAAAAACGTTTCCCCCCAAAATCTGTACCCCCAGGGCATGCACCTCCAAAGTCGATTTTTTTCTGAACTCTGCATCCCAAAAGGTACATGTGTACCAAGTTTCAGATTTCTAGCCCTTCTAGAACATGGTTAGAATTAGCGTCAGTCAGTCAGTCAGTCACCATCGTCTATATATATTAGATGCGCTTGAAGTTTATTGCTGCAGGAATATATTTTTGATAGCTGGGGTAACATGGCTTGAGTAATGGTGAAGTGATTAGGGCAGCATATTTCGTATTACATTTTTCTAAGCTGAAGTACCATCGTCCTGTTCATCACACACCATGAGGGGAAAAAAGCAAATTAAGGAGCATTGAAATCTTACAACTTCACGTGTGTGAAAAAAAAGAGTAGCCAGCTAATTCTATTGGTGACGTTTTCATTGCGAATGATCAACCCATTCTTTAAATGGCGTAACATACGCGTCAATGTATTATGCGTACGAGAATTTCAGAGACGTTTGGGATCGAGGAACAGTGGTTCTTCTCGATGAAGTATGTCCCAAGGCTGCGCAAAGAATCTCATTGAAATGTATTTTAATTCGACAAAAGTTCCCGATTGTTCTTCACTTTCATATCTATGCAGAAATATTCAAAACAGTGATTCCACTGCGATGAGGAATGCCTTGAGGTAAGGTCAGCACAAGGGGAGAGGACACGATTACTCCCCGAAATAAGTACGACGTACGAGGGGAAGCAAATGTGTGGCAGGGTGAGTTCACATCATGATCATCTGAAATTATAGAGGTTCAAAACTGCAAGCAATTTCCTTCCATACAGAAATGTTCTCATACAAGGAGAAAAGCCTTCCCTTCGAAATGCAGATGGAATACCTTTCGTTTTTCTTTGAGGTTCGTGTGAGAAATGTCAAGCGCTGTCAGTGCCATCTAGTGCCAAGCCATGTTTCGTCTCAACGTAGGTGCTGAACAAGCTAAAACCGCCCAGACCATAGCCAGTACACTCTTAGTAAATGTAAAGCGTTTTAGGGAGTAAAATGTAAGCAATATATGAGCTATGTCAAATGCACTTTGTGATCCCTCAGCAAATGCTCCTTCATCGATCGAATTTTCCTTGTATTTTTCTTCAATCTCCCCTTCTAGGAAATAAATACAACCAATGTCAGTCGTATACGGTCGCTGCCAGTATCCGTCATGGCATAGAACATTTTGCACTGGCGATGGGCATCAGGGTTGCATCGGTTTCCTGTCAAAAAAGTTTTAAGTTTACGGTTTGTGTGCTGAGGTATTTCTGTCCATGCGGATATCCCGAATCGAGGTCGAACATTTACTCATGATTCTACTATAACCGGGTTCTGTCAGTGGCAACACTGCTTAGGCCTACGGAAACGTATTTTAGTCGGCCTAACTTTAACGAGTTCAAGGCCAAGCTTTACTCCATCCTCTACTTGATACTCCGATATTGAATTTCTCAATATAGGCTGCAGATCTGTCAAAACGTGCCAGTAGGGTCATGCAACTTCGCTTGGCTCTCTCAGTGTAGCAGAATTCGCCATCCCTCCTTCGTACTACGTCTAATGGTATGGACCAACCCCGTGCGCACTACAGTCCCCTTCCGTCCATGTTTCATCCTCCAATGTAGACACACCTCCCCGTCGATAACACTTGGAGGGAGCGAGTGGGAATTGGAATCGGTGTATTTTAATGAAGCGATTTTAGTCGGAAAAGAGACTAAAATCCTCAACTCCAAGTTCACTTCATTTCCATAATGGAGCAGGAGCGACTTCTTCCGCATTCTGAGAAACAAAATTTCATTTAGCCAAAAGCAAAATCCCTCCCTTTGTAGGGGAGCTAATTTTGGAATTCATATATCATAGAATAACAAATTCCGTCAGACTGTTTTCTACCCACCGTTTCCAAATGCCCAAACCGACTATATTTGAGCTTGACAGCCACCCTAAACGCGGATGTATTGCAACAAATTGCAAACGTTTGAAAATCACTAGGAAAAATGAACGTTAGGAGTTGAATTGGTTTTTCTTAGCGTGAATTCCATATATTTCAAAACATGGAACATGGCATTTTGTAATCCAAAATGGAGGGCATTTGATAATGCGAGAAAGCTGATGTTCCTCAGGTACTCGAGAACAAGCAACGAAAGCGATAACCACATAATTGTGAGAATTCGCGTATTTGCATGCCAAACCTATATCTCTCTGAGAGAAATGTTGATTTTTGAGGAGGGAGTAGTTTCACTCCCTAGAAAATGGAGAAAATTTACTCAATTCCCAGAGCAATAGGGGAGTGAAACTGGAGTTAGCGACTACGCGCACTTTTTGGTGGAAAATCGCTCCCCCTTTTCGAAGAGTGCATGTTGATTCGTACGATCTGTATGCGCATGGCTCGATGAGATGGACGTAAATTCAACACGGATGCAACACCTTCCCGATGAAGTTATTTTCGGGAAAAATTTGGGGAAAGTTGACATTTCGATCCCGTTCCAGATCCCAGCCGAAAAAAGGAAATACTTTTCTCTATTAGGATCAATGAGGGGGGAATTGAGACAAGCTCCAAAGGTGATGCAGCCCTTACGATCAAGGATTTGTTCCTTGGGCAACCGGCAAAAGGGCATGACCTTGTCGATAGTATGGATTCTCACATTAGACATCATTGACTCGAAGGTCCTATAGCACTTCTAGCAATCAAACGGGGAGGCTGCATATATGTGTCACTGCAGCTGCTGTTCTTGTGCTCGAATGTCCCGTGCATCCCTATTGAGCATTGTTGACATTCGTATGAATGCTTTCGCAGCATCGCGCGACCTGGCTTGGAGAAAGCGGACAGTGGACTTTATATGGACGAATCGAAAACGCAAGACTGGTCCCACGCGGCTTCTGGTCAAGGTTCGTTTCAGTTGCGCTCATGTATATTTTTTCCAGGCAGAAAATACGGCATCGTTTTACTCGATACAAAGGCAACACCATATTATCGAACTTAAATGTGGGGATGCTTTCCCGGAATTACTTTGGCGCCCATTAATAAGAAAAATGCGTTCAACTGACAACTACAATAGTGACAAACAGCCGAGTGGAAACACTTGGAAAGAATGCACAGGGGAAAAGTTGGAAACTTCACGTAAGGCATTTCAAAGCTATAAAATAAATTTTTTAAAAGGACTATAGTACTATAGTAAAGTACTATAGCTCCTTGCCTTCAGGATGGAAGTGCAATCGAGATGAGAACTGCGATTACCAGAAGGTGAATAGAGATACTCCCTATCAAATTCCCAGTT